GCACCGTACGTAGCCAATCGGTTGGCGACGTAGGACTCGTATCAATCGGTTTCGTCTCATCCAGTCTACTTCTCCCCATCGCACCGATCGACTTTGGAAATTCTCTTTCCACACCCCCCCCCAAAGTTACAATACTAACAATCATCTCGGCTCAACTCAAGGAACGCGTCTTCACTCGGCTAAGGCGTCTTATGCAGTCGAGCGCGGTGTGTTGCAGGCCGCGTGTCGGCTGCTCGTGTGGCCTCTTCTCCTTCGGCGACCGCCACTTACGAAAGAAAAGACAATGACAGAAACAACAACAACAACAAAAAATTCTCCTCAGTCCACAGAAGACGGTAACGATTCGCCTTCGAGACTCGGAGGGTGGAGGAGGAGGAGGAGGGGGGCGAAACAGAACCGGGGGGAGTAAAATCTCCGGGGACCTCTCACGTGCGGAGCCGCAAGAAACCTAAGAATCGCGCGCACGCAGCGCCCACACCCAACGCGTCCGTCTCTCCCCACCCCCCCGGCCCGTACCATGGCGAGGCGCTGGGCGCTCCCGGCTCCAGACGGGCCGAGGCGGAGGCGGCGGGAGGTGCGTGGTTGGGGGGTCGGGGATATTTCAGCGACCGGCCGGCTACGTTCAAGCGCCGCTGCGATGGCTTGGCAGCCGTCCGCCTTGTTCGAAGAGAGACGGACGTGACGACAGACGCGCACGGAAGTGGGGGGGGGGCGGTGGAGCACATGACGTCACGCTCAAGAGACGGCTGTGATGACGTCACGATCAAGGGCGGCGGTGACGACGTTGCGTTCTAGAGCTGGCGGTGATGAGGTCACGTTCAAGAGCGGCGGTGTAGAGGTCACGTTCAAGAGCGGCGGTGATGAGGTCGCGAACAAGAGCTGCGGTGATGACGTCACGCTCAATAGCAAGAGCGGCGGTGATGACATCACGTTCAAGAACGGCGACGATGACGTCACACTGTGACGCGTGCACCTCGCCTCTCCTGGGGGCTAGGTCACGCGAACTCGTCTGAAGACTGGCCCTTGTCCATGACATCTTGTTGATTGCCTACACCGTTGTCAAACAGTCACGTTTATATGTCGGTACGTGCGTACAAATTCACACGGATGGGCTGTGCTGAGGGATAAGTGCGTTTACCAAAAAAAATACAGCACCACATCTGCTGCATTAGACTCTCTGAATCACATTTACAGTAGCCTTGATAATAAGCAGTACTGTGCCTGTCTTTTTATAGACCTGTCCAAAGCTTTTGATACAGTAGACCACAACACCCTGCTTAGTAAACTAAGTTGCCTCGGTTTTTCCGAAAACGCAGTAAAATGGTTACAAAATTACCTCTTTTCTCGCACCCAAACTGTATTCACAGATGGTTGGAGGTCAAACAGTGTTAGAATTTTATTGTGTTATTTTAGTTTATTATTTTATTATTTTATTCTCATTCTACGTGACTTTACCGAAAGAACCAAAGAAGATAAAAGGGGTTCCACAGGGTTCCATCCTCGGCCCCCTCACTTTATGTCAATGACTTGGGCACTGACCTGGATCATTCCAGGGTAAATCTTTTTGCAGATGACACGATACTGATTACTGCTGGCCGCTCTCCGGATGACGTGATTGTTAAGCTACAGGGTGATTTCAACAAACTACATCAGCTAGTTTCTCTTAAACTAGTCCTGAATACCTCCAAAACCAAGGTGCTATGCTTCTCTCCAGGACTAAAGCAGGAAGTTATTTTTCCCCAATTACATTCCTTAAATAATTATCAAATAGAGCAAGTCAAGATCTATAAGTATCTTGGGGTCATCCTGGATTCAAAACTAAATTTTGATGATCACATTGATTATATTGGTAAAAAGACAAAAATAAACATTGGTTTTCTGTATCGGCACAAGCACTGCTTCCCCCCAATGTTCCGTTTGGAATTGATAAAAGCTACCATACTGCCGCTACTTGATTACTGTGACATCGTGTAAAGATCAGCCCCAAGTACTGTACTGAAGAAGCTTGATTCCATCTATCACTCGGCCTTAAGATTTACATTGAACTGTCCATATAGGACTCACCACTGTGATCTCTACATTGGGTCAAACTTAACATTGCTTAATGTTCGACGGCTTGTGCACCAGATCTTATTTTATTCACGATGTACTTACAACAAAACCTGCAGACTACCCGCTGGATCTCCTCTCTGTTTCAAAGAACAAATTTGACATCAGGTCTTCGCTCATTTACCAGCTTCACATTCCCTGTTGCCGTACAAAAACTGGAGGAAGGGCCTTTGCTATTGATGCCCCCACGGTCTGGAATGCTATTGTCAATAAACTGCAACTTGAATCGCTACCAATGAGATCTTCTCTCAAAACTGCTCTAGAGGAGTTGTACACCCCTAGCTGCCACTGCTATTCATTGGCGTAAAATAAAATAAAATTTTGATTTAAAGCTTTCGTGACTGCATGGATTCATATTCTTGGTTCTTTCGGTAAAATCACGTAGAAGATCAGAACGCTAAATCAAAATACAGAGAATACTTTGCAGCATCATCCGGAGCGAAACATTTTATTTTATATTCTTGGTTCTTTCGGTAAAGTCACGTATTTTATTGTTTCCCTTCTACGTGACTTTACCGAAAGAACCAAGAATATACAATAAAATGTTTCGCTCCGGATGACGCTGCAAAGTATTCTCTGTATTTTGATTTAGCGTTCTGATCTTAAATGTGCATAGAAAAATTTGATACTCCGACTGATGCTTCTGTTGTTGTGGAGTAACTCATGCAGCCAGCTATGGCTCGAGGATTTGGTGTTACATGTTATTTATGTAGTTTATTGTAAAAATTCGGCCACAGTCCCTGTGATCACTGTTACGTTGCAATTATGGCTTTATTTTTTGGTGATTTCGAAAACGTTTTTTGGTTTAGACATGTTTGTTTTGTTGTAGTACGGAGTTAGACTGATGGCCTTAATCTAAGTTTTCCTGTGGTTGTTGTTGTTTGACTTGCATCCCACTGGGATTTTTTGCACACAGCGTTGGTGTACGGTGCTTTTTACAGGAATATTTTGCTGTTTTTTTCATGGATTTTCTGTTTGCACAGTCAAATAGTCACTTTAAGATGTTTTTCTTTTTCGTGTTTTAGTTTTTTTTTGTTTGTTGTGGTTGCACCCGATTCAAGAGCCGAATGACTCACAGGGCTATACCAAAATAAATAAACTGAAACTGTATGTAGATAGCTCCGTGACGTCATCGCCACCGTTACAAGCGATTACGTCAGTGCGTACTTGCGTGTTTGTATGTAGAACTTCTTTCGCACCGTACGTAGCCAACCGTGCTGATCGGAGGTGCGGGGGTGGGGAGGAGGACAACAAACTAAACGCACACAAAAAAACACTTTTTTTAATTAAAAAAATGGGTTCGTCAATCCGGGTGATTTAAAAGTGCAGAGCTCCCAGTGGCTTCCTGAATATGGTAAGGAAGAGCGTTCCAGACGGCCGTGGCTGAGCCAAAAGCCTCCGCCGCTGCTGCTTGCGAGGATGACGCCCGGAGTTCGTGCGTAAGGCACTGGGATGGAAACGATGACCACCGACAAAGAAAGTGAAATAAGGACCTCGTTGTTTTTAATATAAGTCGCGGTTGCTGAGCACAAGGTACCAAAAGGAGCGAAACGTCAAGCGGCCAGTAACAAACAGCACGATTAAAACTGCACATTACTCAGTGATGATGCTGCTGCTGCTGCGTTGACAGCGGTGCACTGGCACAATTTACAACAAGCAAAAACTCAACACGTTTGTCCACAGCAGAGAACGAAGGGCCATTGTCCGAAACGTCGCCTATTTCATGTTTTTTTTCAGGCGGTTCTCTTTTATTGTTGCGCACCGTGGCACCCCAACGCGTTCCCGAGTAGAATGCCGATGTCGATGTCGGCCAGCCACGAGAGGGCTCCAGGAGAACGGAGTTCGTGTCATAAAGCCTCCTCCTCCTTCCTATTCCTCGGCCTCCTCCTCCTCCTCCGTTGAAGGGGCACAGAACCACCGCAGTGGTTTAACTGCATGGCCCCGTCGTTTTGGATGCGTGGCCACAATTGCACTACCGTGGCTGGGCTTTTTCAAGGCAATAATTGACGAAATATGGTGCATTGGTATAATCCACTTTATAATTTCTATTTATACTGGAGGAATCCGATGAGCTACAAAGCGCTTTATCATAGAGGTCGTAAATATAATTTTAATCACATTAAAACGTTGTATGATGTCCAGAAATCTTCTTGAGATCGGCTGTCATCATACACGGGGCACGGGGAGTGAACAAGGAGGACCTGAACGGTCCCCTCGTAGTGTCAACACACAGCAGGAGTTCAGAATCAACATTATCCATAATGCAGGTTTATTTTTTCGTGGTGTTAGATCGTGTAAATATAAAATGTGTCGTCAAACCCGCCACCACCGCCGCCGCCGACACAGCCAAAATTGGTGAGGTTTGTCGCGTCGACAGAAACGTGCCCCACACAATCTTCTCCGTGTTATAATCCAAGGTGGTAGCCATGAAGTCAATATTGGGGGGGACCAAATCTTCCAGGGGGTCTGGGGGTCCCCCCCCCCAGAAAAAAATCTAAATTTGAAAACGAATTTCCTGCCATTTCCTGTCTAAAATATACAAAAATTCACTAACGCATCGGATGGACTTTTTATTGATTTTTTACAATAATATCTAATAGTGTATTGTATTACATTGCTCTGTTTTTTTTCTTTTTTTACCTTTTCTTGTTTCATTGTATGTAATGGCAGAGATTAGGGATTAACAAAATACAACCACAATAATATAAACAGAAATCTATTTTATAGCAATATATTGGGGGGGGGGAACATTTTGAGCATATTTGAATATATATTATAATTACGGCCTTGTTATAATCCATCGGAGTGGCTGGAGCGCCTCTTCCCAACGTGAACAATGCACTTCTATATCTGGGCACACACACACACAGAGAGGCGTGGCCACGAGGCTGGCTGAGCGTCGTGTTGGGGGGGGGAGGGGGTTAAAGGCCGGAATGGCAGCAGGGTAAGCGCAGACCGGAATGAGACGTGCGTTGACTGATCACTCATGCCTGCGAAAGGTGAGGATTTGAACGTCGGCGGTGGGGTTGTTGTTGTTGCGGGGGGGAGGGGGGGGGGTGTTAAATCCCCCAGTCGAAAATGTTACGAGTCGTCGCCACGTGTACTGTAGAGTGTGTTGTGTGTGTGTGTGGTTAGCGCTACGAACCCGACGGTCACCCGGGTTCGATTCCCACCCCTTCGTGCGTTGTGCCGGCCTTCGTAGGTGCTCGCTAACAGCACTTGCCCCCGACACTCTGTTACAGGCTACACGGGGGATCTTTGTCTGTTGTGTATATGTAGGGGATCAGTGGCGCAGTGGTTAGCGCGCTGCGCTACGAACCCGCACGGCCACCGGCGATTGTCTGAACCGGTTCCGGGCGCTTCCCCCCTAGGTCGACTCGGCCTCAAATGAGTACCGGGTGCGGTGTGTAGTAAACGTCGCCACTGGGGAGACAAAGGCGGCGTGGCGTGGTGCTGGCCACCCACCCCCGTCTTGTGCCACAGTGCCGGTCTTAATAGGTGCTCGCTAACAGCACTTGCCCCAACAGACTGATAAGGCTATACGGGAGATCATCTTTGTGTATAACTATGTATATATCTATATGTGTATATGTATATATGTAGGGGAGCGGTATTCGCAGTGGTTAGCGCCGTCTCGTAGGCGACACCACGCGTGCGTCTTCTTTTGTTTGTCTGTGTGTGTCTGTGTGTGTGTCTATGTGTGTCTCTGTGTGTGTCTGTGTGTGTCTCTATGTGTGTGTCTGTGTGTCTCTATGTGTGTGTATGTGTCTGTGTGTCTCTATGTGTGTCTCTATGTGTATGTGTGTGTCTATGTGTATGTATGTGCACATAGCCTGGCACAAGCGTCGTGGTGACGTCACCGCCACTTAGTGGCGAATGGCGGTTGTTGTGTGTCTATGTGTGAAAGATCTGGGCACGGTCCCATCGGTGAGCTCCTCCGGCAGGCAAGGCTGCGTTGGCTGGGTTATGTAGCCCGCACGCCCAGCCACCGCATGCCGGAACAGCTTTTGTTCGGCCGGATCGAGGGGGCAAAGCGGGCGCGGCACGGGCTAGAGAAGAGATGGAGTGATGTGGTACAGGAGGACGTGGAGCTGAGTGGACTTGCCGATGACTGGTACCAGCGGTGTCAAGATCCGCCTCTGTGGAGGAGGCTCGTGAAGGACGCTACTGGGCAGTTGGAGGCAGTCGCCCTCCAACAACAGCGGAGGGCGGTGGAGCGACGCTCACAACAACGAGCGGAGCGCTGGGTGGCTAAAGCACAGCAGGTTGGCACCGTAGGGGGCACAGGTGCTGCATCAGCCAGTCATCTCAGTCAGTCGACCCGTGGCACCTGGGTCTGCCCCGTGACCTCCTGCCAGCGGGCGTTCGACACTCCACGTGGCCTCAAGGTGCACATGTCCTGGCACAAGCGTCGTGGTGACGTCACCACCACTTCGTGGCGAATGGCGGTTGTTGTCTGTATGGTCGCGGGTTGCTGAGGAGATGGAGTCTGCCTCAGTGGCCCGCGATCACAAATCTCTATTCAACTCCATCAAAAAAGTAACCTGCAGCGCCACACCTATTACCATCATTAGGGGAAAAAACGGTGATCCAATCTCTGACCCCCAGGAACAGGTTTGCAGATTTGCTGAGCATTTCTGTGAGGTCCTGGGGGAGGGGAAATCCCTCACGCAGGAAAACATCGTGGCACAAAGTGGGGATGACCCTGCTGAGGCTGCAGTGCCTCAAATATTGGAAGAAGTCACCCCTGTGAATGGCTGGCTGAGGTGCCATCTGTTGAGGAAGTACTGAAGGCGATCCGGAGTCTAAGACCAGGAAAGGCAGCGGGCAGAGATGATCTCCCAAGCGAAATGCTGAGGGAGGGTGGCGTTTGTGCACAGACTGCCCTATATGACATCATAACAACAGTCTGGACCACTGGACGGGTTCCGCAGGATTGGAAGGATGCCTTGGTGGTCCCCCTCTTTAAGAAGGGGGACCACACAGACTGTAACAACTACAGGGGCATCTCACTCCTCAGTGTGCCGGGAAAGGTCCTGGCAAGGATTATTCAACATCGCCTTGCCAGGCACGCTGAATAGAGGCTTGCGGAGCCCCAATGCAGTTTCAGAAAAGGGCGGTCCTGCACAGATGCCATATTTTCTGTCCATCTGCTACAGCAGAGGTGTAGGGAATTCCAACAAGACCTACATCTCTGCTTTATTGACCTGGTCATGGCCTATGATACCATGAGTAGGCCTGGGCTCTGGGTTGTTCTTCGTGCTTTTGGAGTCCCTGACCCTCTGCTCACGATCATTAAGGACCTTCATGATGGTGAGCGGGCCCGGGTACAACTACGTGGCCGGGAATCAGAGCCATTCCCTGTACACCTTGGGGTGCGACATGGGATGTCCTCTGGCTCCCACATTATTTAACATCTATTTTGACCATGTAGTTCGTGAAGCCTTCAATAGCGGTACCGGGGGAATCTCCATTTGGTACAGATATAATGGGAGGCTGATCGATCCCCGGGTGCGGTCAAGGGATGGCTCTCTATTGCTCAACCACGTTATGTATGCCGATGATTTGGTAATAGCTGCTCATTCAGAGGAGGAGTTGGAGACGCTGCTGTTGAGACTAGAGCATGCCACTAAGAGATGGGGCCTGACCATCAGCCCCACCAAAACTAAGCACCTGCCTGGGTATTTTGTACTATCGGACACTCCACCCCCACAACTCCCAATCGGTGATGGGGCAGTTGTGGAGAGAGTGGAGAGTTTCCCATACCTGGGCCTTGTGCTCATGACCAGCTCCAGTTTAACAGCAGAGGTCTCGCTTCGAATCAGTCGAGCGGCAATATCTTTTCATCGGTTGCGTAACGCTGTGTGGAAGCTACCTGGTCTGTCGCTCCGCACTAAGCTTCAGGTCTTCTCGGCCACGGTCATTCCCTCCCTTCTCTACGCTTGCGAAATGTGGACCCCCTTAATTGAACATCTTCGCCGGTTATAAATATTTAGGGTAGCCTGCCTACGATCCATCCTGGGTTTAACCAGGCTGGATTGTGTGAGGAGCTCACAAATCCTTGAAAGATCTGGGCAAGGTCCCATCGGTGAGCTCCTCCGGCAGGCAAGGCTGCGTTGGCTGGGTCATGTAGCCCGCATGCCCAGCCACCGCATGCCGAAACAGCTTTTGTTCGGCCGGATCGAGGGGGCTAAACGGGCGTGGCACGGGCTAGAGAAGAGATGGAGTGATGTGGTACAGGAGGACGTGGAGCTGAGTGGACTTGCCGATGACTGGTACCAGCGGTGTCAAGATCCGCCTCTGTGGAGGAGGCTCGTGAAGGATACTACTAGGCAGTTGGAGGCAGTCGCCCTCCAACAACAACGGAGGGCGGAAGAGCGACGCTCACAATAGCGAGCGGAGCGCCGTGTGGCTAAAGCACAGCAGGTTGGCACAGTAGGGGGCACAGGTGGTGCATCAGCCAGTCATCTCAGTCAGTCGACCCATGGCACCTGGGTCTGCCCCGTGACCTCCTGCCAGCGGGCGTTCGACACTTCACGTGGCCTCAAGGTGCACATGGCCTGGCACAAGCGTCGTGGTGATGTCACCGCCACTTAGTGGCGAATGGCGGTTGTTGTGTCTGTGTGTCTCTATGTGTGTGCCTGTGTATGTGTCTGTATGTCTGTGTGTGTGTCTTGTGTGTCTCTATGTGTGTGTCTGTGTGTCTCTGTGTGAGTATCTCTATGTGTGTGTCTCTCTGTGTGTGTGCATGTTTGTCTCTGTGTGCTCGCTAACAGCACTTGCCCCTACAGTCTGTTAAGGCTATACGGGGGATCTTTGTCTTTTTGTATGTGTATGTGTCTGTGTGTCTCTATGTATGTGTCTCTATGTATGTGTCTGTGTGTGGGGAGCGATAGTGTAGCAGTTAGCACGCTGCGCTATGAACCTAGCGACCCGGGTTCGATTCCCACTCACGGCCAACACCAGTGACGACTATCTGAACCGGTCCCGGGCCTCCCCTAGGTCGACTCAGCCTAAAATGAGTACCTAGTGCGGCGTGTAAAAACATCGTCTCTAGGGAGACAAATCTCGGCCGGGCGTGGTGCTGGCCACCCACCCCATCGTGTGACGTTCCAATCTTCAAAGGTGCTCGTGAACAGCACTTGCCCCAACGTCCTGTTAGGGCTATACCGGGAATATTTGTTTTTGTCTTGGTATATAGCCCGTCGTCAATCCACTGGTGGATGAGAGCCTTGCTCCCCCACAATGTGTGTGTGTGGGGCTCGGTAGGGTCTTTGTTGCCCATACTTCACCACGCTGGTCAGAGCGAGGTTGGGTGAAGGCGGGTTTGACAAAGACTCTGCTCGCACCAAAGTAGAGAACAACATTGGATTTGGCTGCACCACTGCATCTGCTGGGAATGTAGCCTCGCATTGTCCCATTACTACACCCATTCTATTCTTGAGTGCGTGGCAGGCAGACAGGATGTTCAGGAATAAAATTTCGACCAATGTCGAGGGTCTGCCAGCCACGACTAAAGAGGACTTCGGGAGAAGGGAGTTCGTGTCGTTTTGCTGCTCCTCCTCCGTTGAAGGAGCACGAGACTCATTCGGGTTTTTCTAATGACCCAGTTTCTAAATTGGAATATGAATAGTTTAAAGGGCCACGTGAATCGTAGCTATTTGGGTACAGTGACAAACAAACCCGTTACTACAAAAAAAAACCATTCAATTACTAAATCAAGTTATTTATATTAGAAGAAAAATAATATAAAAATATATATCCAAAGCTGTTTACTCTGAGCCGTTAGATAACACTGTTGTGCAATGATGATCGTTAATCGGAGCTCGACGTCCGAAGCTTACCGAGATCGAATAAGACCGGGCGCATTAACGGGTGATTTTGTCTTCGGCGACCGCTACGATTGCTGCATTTACATAAATTGTGTTCGAAAAATGTCACACCGTGGCCTTAAAAGGAAAAAAAATCTATCATATGCGACGTTTCGGGCAATGGCCCT